CAAGGGAGTGCCGAATTTGCAGCGGGAAACGTTGAAGAGTCCGGCCGGGGGGCACTTGGTGCCGATCGAATCGTACGATTCCTTGGAGCAAAAACACGAGTCTTTGTTGCAAGACGAGGTAAAAACGTTGCTCGGTAATGCGTACCTGTGGTCATTGGACTAACGATCAAGCCTGTTTCTCGAATTTCTTTCGATCCGAAGAGGGGGCAGAACTCACCTGAAAGTGGGTATGCCGTTGGAAAAGCTGCGGCGTTCGTACTCGAGGGGTATCTGCCTGCAAAAGTCTTTCATGTAGACGTGAAGCGTACCGTTGGGCCGTCCGACCCACTGCGGTGGAAATATGCTCCCGTCTGTCCCGTACACGCGATCGCATTTCTCGTCTTGCCAGGTTCTGTGATTGTCCAGCCCGTTCACTCGCTCGATCATCCCGAGGTTCCTGTGATCGTCGGCTCCCGTGTGCACCGTGATGCGATCTCCGCTCAACCCGTTTTTCTAACAGCCACGGAAAATCTCGAATGAAATATGAAAGTCGAACGGTTCGAAAGATACGTACTTGTGTAGCAGATGTAAGCATACCCATACGAGAATCCCGAACTTGTCGTAGGATATCGGTGGCTCGAACGACGCGAGCAGCTTGGTGTTTTCGAACAATTGGTCTTCGTAGCCCCAGAGATACTCGCCGACCGGCAGCTCGAGGAACGGTTGGGACTTGAGTCCCGTGAGAAATACCGTCACCAGCAACTGCATCATCATGTGGAAATTTCGAGAATGGGCGAGTACGACCATGAGCGGCAGGTTCGGCACCACCACCCTGTCCTTCTCCGAATTCCCAGAGATCCACTCCATCTTCCTCTTCTCTTGATAGGTCACCGTCTGGTTCTCGTGCATGACAACGTTCACGCGGGTCAGGGTTTCTCGGTAGACGTACGGTCCGACTTCTTCTACGCGCAGCTTGCTCGCGTTTCCGCTCTCGAACTCGCGCACGTTCGTGTAATTGAACACGTAGACCTTGACGGTGAGACCGACGGGCGGTCGTTGCCAGAGTAGGAAGGTCGGAGTGTTGTTTCGCAGCTCGAGATTCGAGAGGATCGCATCGCGAAACACGTTCGTCCACCAAAAGAGCACGAAGACCGCGACGCTCGTGAAAGCTGTGCACCCGTACAACCAACGAACCCGGTGCTGCCTTTTCGTTCTCCCGAAACTTTTCCCATAAGCGTTCGCCCACGCGATGCTCTTCTTCTTCTCCATTTTGACAGCAACAGGAGGACCGTTCGCTCGCGACTCGGTTCTTTCACCCTTCTTCTTTCTCTCCTTTTCCACGCAGAAAAATCTCCCCACCTTTCCCCGATTCCTCGATAACCTCGCCGCCACTGCGATGACCTCTCTACGCCGTCAAATTCGCCTCCGCCGAATCTTCCCTTCCCTTACCATGCCCATTCCCATTCCCATTCCCTCGCTGTCCTGCGCCGAGATCGATTCGCCAACAGTCCACCGCCTACCATACCTTATCGGTCGCAGACGAAAAAAATGCTCGGACCATCGACGATAACGTCGCCTTGCTTGTGGACAGCTTGTGGACCGCTTGTGGACGGCTTGTGGACGACCTGGTTCGATCTGAAACAAGAACGAGATTAAAAGAGATTCGATTTTATCGCTACCGTTCGGTCTGTTGTGTCTGACAGATGCCCTTTTCACCCGCATCTTCTTCTCCTCCTCCTCCTCCTCCTCCTCCTCCTTTCGGTAGCTGCATCACTGGTCGGTCTGTTGCAAGCAGACGTAACATCACCACTCGTACGATTGATAAAACTACCTTCTACGTTACTCGACGATTACGCAACCAATTCACTTTCGATACTCGACGCCGACCAGATCCAATGTTTCAATATATCCGCGCGTATACGTGGCCGCGACATCGCGATACCGTACAATCCAGCTATCGTACTCGTTGACAATCGCGCTCCTACATACGCCCGTGTATCGTATACGTATCTTCCATCCTTCCTGCGATAAATTCCTGCGATAAGGCGGAGAAAAGCGCGGGAAGAAACCGAGGGTCGATGCTCCGAGCAAACGTTCACCTCCCCTTTCTTTTCCATTTCGCGTGCTTTCAAGCTCCTCTCGTTGTTTCGCGAGAGAAATGAAGTTTGGAAGAAGGCGAGTCGAACGGAATACACGGTAAAATCGCGCGCGCGTTAATGGTTAAAGGTTAAAGGTTGCTGCGCAGCGACCTCGCGCGGCCGCGCACGCGTTCCTCGTCTCCTCGATAGATGGCGCTCGTTTACAAGCAGGTTTTCCGATGACGGTTGCACAGTAGTGGCGAAATAGAAGGGTGTTTCTTTAGGAGTAAATCGAGGCGAAAAATTGCTCGTGACGTGGAACGCGTTTCATCTTACTACGCGTTTCGTCTTCCAATCAAGGAGGAGGAGGAGGAGGAGAGGAGGAGGAGACGAAGAAGAAGCCAGAGCGGAGGCCTGTTTACTGGAATCGTAGGACACATAACCTTACCTCTCGATCCGGTTTCGCCGAGGAATCGTAGCAAGGGTACTCTACCGAGGGTAGTGGACCGACCAGGTCCGTGTAGGTGAAAGAGAAATAGCGTAGTATAGAGATATAGTAATATAGCGGTCGGGGGGCGGTGAGCTCGTCGACCAAAATTTCCAAGGACCGATGACAAAGATGAGTTCGCAGCAAAGTCCGGCCGCGATGCAGTCGACGGTGGACCGCGAGAAGGTGTACTCTTGGATAATCGAACTGTCCAACTCGGAGACGAGGGAGAACGCGTTGCTGGAGCTTAGCAAGAAACGGGAGGTGGTGCCCGATCTGGCGCCGATGCTCTGGAACTCGTTCGGAACGATCGCGTCGTTGCTTCAAGAGATAATAAACATTTACCCGGCGATCAATCCGGCCACTCTGACCGCCTATCAGAGTAATCGCGTGTGCAACGCGTTGGCTCTGTTGCAGTGCGTGGCCAGTCATCCGGAGACTAGATCTTCCTTCCTTCAGGTAAACCTTCGACGATAATACTTTTCTCCCCTGACGAACGTAACGTAACGACAGTTTGCC